TTTTTATTTTATAAAAAAAATTCGATCTGCATGCACAAATTTTCAGTCTTTTTACAACCGTAATGACATTTTTCGATGTAAAGAACAGTCTTTCAAAGTTAATAGAAGAAGCATAGTCAAAAGAAAGAATCGTTAATAATTAAATAATAAATTTCTAGTTACTTTAACAGTTAATTCTTCATTCTTTTTCTTATAGTAGATAGTTCGGATTCAAATTAATAAATTTATAGATTAGAATAGATTTGATTCCTATTAAGATCCAGGTCATTAGTTCGAATATCCGAACTTGAGTAATCGGATAATTCGATGAATTAATTATCTGGATATCCGAATATTAGCAAATCCGGAATGTATTTACGCATCCGTATACATATATATGTGTATATATACATGTATATATCGATGCATGGAGCATATTTGTTATACATTGGAGAAAATGATAAAGATATATTGTATTTATCGTTACAACAATCTATATGGCAGTGGATAACGATAATGACCGAAATGACGAAACCTAAAATACAATTAGAGCCAAAGGTATTCCATTCCATCCGACTTCATAAAATTACAATAGTGCAGATGGTGGACTGATAGTATACCGCCTGTATTAATTAAAGACTGTGCACAAAATGGTAGCATTTGGTGAACTAATAAATTCTAAATGCATTAAGCTTCAGCTAGATCTAAATTGCGCCTGCGATTGCCTGTATTAAAGCGCTAATATTATTAAAGCTCCTATATTAAACTACTTCCCTTTCTGAATAATTTATTTATACATAGGTAAAGAAGAAATAAAGAAGGATAGGTAGGATAACAAGACATTAATTACCCGACCTTGACGTTCCATTATCTTTGACAGGCGGGGGTAAGTTCGTATTTTTTTATACAACCATGTGCAGTGGAAACACGCGATTTTCGAATTCCCGGTTGCGATAAGGGAGTAAAGTGCCAAGTGTCCGCGGCACGTGGTGCAGGGCGACGCCGTGACAAGTGTAAATCACGATTCCGAGGAGAGCTCCGCGAGAGTTCAACTTGCCTCGCTTGCCAGTAGCTGCGAAATCGACAATGCGGGGCGATGGGTACCGTAGGGTGGATGGAACGAAGGAGGGAAGGAAGGAAGGAAGGAAGGAAGGAAGAAAAAAGAGAATGCGCGGCACACGTGTGGCCCATTCGTTCCGAATCCTCCCGCCGCCACCGGGTGTGAGCATCGCGCGGGGGAGTGCTGGGCGAGGCCGAAGAAGAGGAAAAAAAGGCGGAGGGTAGTCACGCTCCAGGGGCATTTTTCAGAAGCTGCTTGTCGGCCACCATATCCTACCCGGCCACCCCACATTCCTCCTCCCTTTCCTACACTCACGTCCACGAAAAAGTCGATAGTTGCGTAGACAGCATTCGTGGGGGTGGTGAAGAGCGGGTGCCAAAACGAAGGACGGCGGAAGGAGCGAAAGGAAGGACCGCGGCTCTCGCGGGCTGTTGTCAGAAGTTACCATCGATTTTTCAAATTCCCCGTGGGTACCTAGGCGACTGACACAATCGGATTTTCTTCGTTCGCCGAGCGTCACCCGGGATATTTGTCAAGAGCCGGCGAGTCTGACCATACTCCGGATGCTTACTACTTGCGCGAAGAGACAAACCGCCTAACCCATTGAGAAAGTGCTTTCTCTTATTCATAAAACTTTAGTTCCATCATACATCTAAGATTGTATTTAATAAAAATTAAATTAATCAATTCAAATAATTGATTTTACGAAAACAAAATGTTCCTTTTTAATCTACTGTAATTTTTCATTTTTTAAAATTTTTATAAAACTATTTACAGGTTATAACAAGAAGTAAAATTATTTTATAAATAAAACAATCAGCAATGAAATAATAATACATCTGAGGTTTCTTTGTTGAGTATTAAATGTTAACAGAACAATATCTGTTGACTTTGGTCGGTTTGATTCTGGACTACGTAGCGAGACGAAGTCTTTATGGGCCGAGTGCGAAAACCGCGTTCATAAACGCGAAATCATTGTCGGCCGCGTGTTCGAAATTTCCGAAGTTCGAGCGTTACAGAGATACGTGTCAGAGCTATTGGGTTATTTCGCGGTAAAGCATGGCGACGCGAGACACTTGCCAAACGAGGCTATCGGCGTGGTAACGTAACCGACACTTGCATAAACAACCTGCCTGCTGCGGTACGATCGATTTCTCAAAGGCTTATCGACACGTAGAATAAATGGGATTTTCGTGTAATTCCCTCTACGACCGAAGTCATTCCCAAATTGTATTACCACTTCTGCCCGGAAAGTATTGGCACAACATGTCCATCCGCGTATGACTACAAGTTCTCGTGAGACACATAATTATTTACACGCGCATCTCTTCACTCTGCGTACACTACATTGTAACCTCTCTTGTAAACATAAAGCTCTTGTAACGTTTTAAGTTTAAAAAATTGAATAAATCTCAAAAATTAAATACATTCTTAAGTCGTACATTTTTTGCAAATTATAATTTTAATTATGCTATAATTGCTTAATAGAAAAAGAATATATAACACATGTGTAACAGAGATACTAGTAAATTATACATTTTAATAATTTAATTTTAAATACTATCGCGCGATATTTTACGTTCAATTCCGTATTTTCTTCTAATAGATATATTTTTACAGATTTTGCAAGATTATTTCTGTCTAAGGTGCCCTCTGCAAACCCTACAATAATCAGCTTTGTCGATCAACAAGCTCATTGGGCAATGCCCGTTACTGAATACGTGTCAATCGATCTATGCCAATCGGCACAAAATGCCGATCAGCGCACGTATACGGCTTTGCTGAGTACAGTCGATGGGCGACAAAAGAAGCCAGAAGCTGAATCGAGTATCAGAAGCCCAAACATCGATCAATCCTTCATACCAATCGTTACTAATTTTAATCTTTGCATATCAAAGAAATTTTTAAATTTATTCTCAAAAAAGAAAAGAATGTATTTGGATCTAATAGATTGTCATTTAACGCCAGCTTTTCGCTAAATCTATTAAATCCCGTTGCCGATTAACTTTGATCCTACGTCAAATGCTATAGCTTTGTTATAAACTTATACTTAACTATATAGACATGCGACTTTATAGCATGCAGAAAGTATGCGAATTATACATTTAGATGTCTACGCTATGCCAGTCTGTACGCTGTAAGGTTTCTTCTACTTTAAAAATTCTCCGCACGGTTCAATGACCACATAGTATACGGGAGATATAGAAGCTACTCTATACTCGATTCTCCAACGTCAACACTAGGGTTGCCATTTCACGGAGGTTTAAAAATCCGGAGATCGTGGCACGAAGATGGTAGAGATAGGGAGAATCGTGTTTCCACTGAATTTTAAAAACGGATATAAAAAAGACCGTCATAATATTTTTTACAAACTACATGTGTAATCGTCAGACAAATTCATGATATCACAAATATTTAAAATAGACGAATGTTTACCATACGTTGCATTCAAGAGGAGCAATTTCTTTCTTGTGATGTTAACACGTGGTCTCTTTCTCTCTGTGGCTTACGAAATATTTCGCACGGAAGAATTAGCTTTAAGGCCGGTACTAAACTTCGCGTATATTATCCATTCATCATCGAGCAAACGTAAAATACTCCATCGCGTTAGTTCCCACAAATATCAAATGTGGCTCCATATATCATGGGTTAAAATATTATTCTATTTTTCTTTCAAAATATCAAGGCGTTATTATTCAAATGACGTCGTTTTATGTAAGAATAGCTTTCTGTATTAAAAAATAACTATCAGTTTAATACAAAATGAAAAAAAAGGATAAGAAAAGAAAGTGATATTGAGATGACAAATATTGAGATTAAAGTTCTATAGGACGCCTTATTTTCTTAAATTTCAATTGTTTCTAACAGTTTTCTTATTACTTTTCGATTTTGTATCCCAAAGATGACGCGGGAGACGAGGAGGAGGAACCGAAGTTTAACGATCTACCGTTTATAACGAGGTCCTTTCGAAACCCGTTCTCGCGAATCGGAATGCAACACTTCCCGAACCGTAAGCGGCCGGCTGCGGTTCGATAGCCGTGGGATCGATGGCCGAATAAACAGGCCGAGCGCGCGCGGCGCGCGATCGATCCGTCTCATCCTCATATCGATATCGAAGGCCGCGTAGCGCATTCGTTAGATTACACTCCGGAGCTGAAAGTCCGGTTTGACGTAACGAGGCGTGCGAGAGCACGGCGTGCCGTGCCGTGTTGTGCCGTGCCGTGCTATGCTGTGCCGTGCCGTGCCGTGCCGTGCCGAGCTGAACCGAGCCGAGCGGAATGGAGCGAAGCTGAAAGCCAGAGCGCATGTCGATACCTCGAGCAGCAGCAGCCAATGGACTGGCTAAAATATTAAACGGGAGCAAAGACCCTGTTCTCGTACACCACGTAGCCGCGTTCAATTCCTGAGCCAGTCTCACTAACCCCCGTCGTGGCGGGGGATCGAAAGTGGAAAACAGACGGTCGTGGCCAGACTCGTCGCGCCGCGACAGTCCGGACCGGCACTACTGGCGACATCCGTAAGCTCGGGCGCGAAAAGAAGAGGAACGGTGTGAGATCAGTCGGCACCGGTGAGTTTAATACGGAAATGGAAATCGGAATTTATAAATGAAATATAGGCCGTAGTGAGACAATATTACCTTAAGAGATAATAAATGTTACTTTAAGTTTTAGTTTAGATTAATAAAAAGAGTCACTTTGATTAGCACCTTTTTGTCTCTTCATTTTTCTTTCTTTTCTCTTTTTCTTTTTATAACGCAATATGTATAATAAAAAAAATTTTATATAATACATTCATATAATATACACATAATACAATTGTATTTTGTATAATATATTCCATGAAATTGTCCATGTCTGAATGTCAGATTAATTTCTTTTGATCAAATAATAAAAGGAAAAATAAACTCGGATTATTTATATTTATATATACAATCAGATTAGTCTTATTCCCAATTTTTTTATTTTTTTGCAATTTGAATTTATTATGGTTTATGTTATTAGTAGTTACATAATGACACATTTTGCATAAGCATAATGTTATGCAATAAATATATGTAGAGCAAGCACATATGATTGTCTTGAGATAATGAACGTTAAAGTTTGGTAGATTGCAATCATGCTAAATTGTCTTTTCTTATTTCCAAGTTGGATAATAGTGTTAAACTTCAATGGTCATTGTCTCAAGACAATGGTATTGTGCTCACAGTAACTCTTATTGTTGCATAACATATATTGCCCATATATTCGAATAACTTTTCGAATTCAAATAATATTTAATAGATTTTATAAAATGAGTTGATTAAAAACACGATGATCTTTTTTATTATAGGTAACAATAAATTCCGACTATTTCTATTACTAACTGTATTACTATATCACTAAAATATAATCATAGAACGAATTCGTTCGATTAAATAGAACTTCGAGTAACTGTGAATTTGGTATTTCTGAACAGAAAATGGTTCAAGTTAATCGATATTTAATTGACAACTATTCTGACATAGATCGTAACGTATCGATGTTTGATTCTCGCACACACATTATCGACAGAATAATTGAATAAATACATTTATATATAATTATAGATATAAATAGCATATGGAGATAAAAAAGTACGTCCGCTACATTTTGTATAATCAACTTTAATATCTTTCATGAATACGATCTAAAATAACATGGTCTAAAATGGTTGAATATCGACGCATGGACAAGCAATGTAAGCGACGTTATGGCATTTACTTTTTACAAAACGCACTAGTACTCGTCGTTCACATATGGTCGACCGCAAAAAAGGTCGCCGCATTTTTTTTTTCGGCGAATTTCGGCACGTACTACACTTTCAGTATCCCGCATCGCCGCCTATTTCAATGCAAAAATTTCGTCGAAAAAACTGTGCATTTATATGTGATACACAGTCCATTTAATAGGTCATGATTTATGCTGTTTTACATGTGATCATACGAAAATGATACGCGTGTTTGAACAAGGATGCGATACTTCGATGACAAAACCATTGTTTGCAATCGTTTTTTTTTTTTGCTACGCGTGAAAATATTTTCAGAATGCTTTATCGATTGTAATTTCACTAACTTTTATATTAATTTATATTCACAGTAGCGACTTTATAACTTACATATCCTTCGTATCCATAAATACAGCAAATGGACTTAATACATTTAATATAATTTTGAGACTTTATCGAATCACACACAAGGTCATTAATGCTTACAATTAAATGCTTACGATTAATGAGGGATACATGGGGAATATGTGTATGATTGCTTCACCGCATGCCGCAAGACTCATACTACTTGTTTAAAATGTGTCATTTGACAATAATCATTACGTTTATATCAATTATACGTTGTTAATGAAAACAGCATTAATTATAAAATTTCATTGGATTTTACATATGTTTGTTCTCTTTTTCTGTATTTTGCTACTTTGACGTTTCCACATTGATAGGGCGATGGTATATTTTTGGTGATCTGCTACGACGCCACTCGGACTGTTCCCGAAAGAGATATTACTATTAGTACGAAATTATATATAATGTTTGTATAATAGATATATTATTAGCGTTAGTAATCGGACGTAGTTACTATCAACAAATTTTCATGTCATTACGATATTCAATTAATGCAAAATACATTGTTATTATAATGTCAATAATTTTATTAATAATAATAATAATTTTATTAGAGAGCAAATGAGTTAATTTATATAGTACGTATATCGGGAGAAAGATTCGTATATCGATTTAAAAGAAACGAGGATAAAGCGGAAAGTTCCTAAATTATCGCAATTTCGAAAGTTCCGACGATCATTGCCATCGAATGGAATATCTTTTGCCAATAAAAATGATCTTAATTCTCTAATGGGAGTGTGACATTTATAGCCCGTAATTTTCGTACGATACCGTTTTTTCGCTTCGTTAGGCTGATACCTTTAATGATTCTAATTCCGAGATTTGTGTTCGACGTTCAATATTAATTTCATTGTGTCGGCAAGAAGTAGAAATATAGCTTAATTAAAGACAAGCGTCGAAATATCCGCGTTCAGAATGAGTTAACAATGAATAAAAATATCCCATCGATATAAACTCGGACAGCCATAGAAAAGTCTGAGGTGGGGTCGAATCTAATTTTATGTCTGCCAATCGAGCGCCGAGGCTACCTGCCGGATATACCGAGACTGATCTAATCGACGCAACGACCGAAAATCGTAGATGATGCATACGTTTATACGACCTCTGGTAATTCAGAGTTTATAGGTCATCCCGCGTGTAGTGGGAAAGAGCTGTTTCTGTCTATCGCAACAACATCCCGCGTGTGTACGCGAAAAATCGCATAAATGCGTTTTATTAAATTATTTCATTCTTCGACAGTAGCGAAATTTTAATTAAAAGCGAGCTTGCGATCAGCATAGTTTATCAGTAACCCTTTGTACGAACTCGCGCGAGTTTCATCGCATTCATCTCCGCAACCTGCGAGTTATTAAATTATTTAAGGTCAATGATCGCGTGTAAATTCCGAATAGGAGCGTGAATGGGCCATAGCTCGATGATTTTTATCTATGGTGTTGAATTGAAGCACGACAAAGGATGTACGCGTGGATAGCGTTCAAGTTTGCAGCGGGCTTTTTTATTACTAGTAACGATCCCATACCATACATACGCACAAAAACTCACACACACACACACACACACACACACACACACACACACACACACACACACACATCACACGAGTTCCATTTATCACGACAAATAATTTACCTCTGGCTTCAATAGCTTCTCGATGCACGACATTTTGCTGTTCATTATTTCCAGCTCTAGCTGTTCTTTGCGCAACTGTTACAATAAAATTCAGAAATTCAGCCATTTAAAATATTTAATTAGTGAAAGTGTAATCGAACAGATCGTCAACGTTTACCATTTTCTTTATTTTCTCTTGGAACACCCCCATCCGCTGTAGCTGGAGATGGAAATTATTAGAGAGCATAACGCAAAACGTTAATTGCGTGTTTAAGATTTTTGATAATTGATGATAGTTTAATAATAAACTTACGTGCTTGTGAATACACTTGTACGGAGGTATGATGCTAACGACGCTTTCCATTCGCGGTAACTTCTACAAATTATTGGCAGTCAACGTTAGCGCTTTCAAAGTGCGGTTCAATATCGTTTCAGTCTCGATCAAACTTCAATCTGACTTTGATTGCCGAGACTGCCCAACTTACCTTCTCCGCCTTCTCCAACAATTCACAGAAAAGTATATCGTTCATCGTCACCGTATTTAAACTCTATCCATGAAAATAAAGATTTGAATATTTAAAGCAATTAACGACGTATATTAATATACTAAATTAAATTTTTATTATTAAATTAACTTTTAAACTTTTTTATATTTCGTATTGATTTTCCATCACTATTTAATCTTGTTACGAATAGTTACGAAATTATGCTTTATAATCTGTTTTGTTTTTTAATTTCTGAAATAAACCTCTTCCCGCGCCGAAGTAAAAATAGCAGATTGAAAATCGATAAAAACTTTTATGCTTATAAATCTATTTGAAATTGCAGCTTTCTGAACGCTGTCACTTCGATAAAAATTAAAACAAAACGCTATTGTGTTGAAAATAGTTGAAAATCCCTTTCTTTGAAACCGCGAAGATACATGGTATACTTTTTTGCGTGTAGAATTATATTTGATACAATATGGCACGTGCGCAAACGCATCAGTATTCAAGCGATTGCCTCACAAAGTTGTTTACATTTTCTTTAAGCCGGCAAGAGAGTTCGGCGCTGGTAAGGTTTTCGAAAGATACGTGACTCGTTTTCTTTCGTGCGTTTACATATATATAAAACGATGAGCATTATCTATTTAAATTGCGACCACGATACGACAGAAAATGTATCAGTAATTCCGCGACTTCGATCGTTTATTGTCCCTTGATTAATTACACGTTGAAATAATATTATTACGTTGGATTTAAAGCAAATAATTAATTATAGAATCGTGTACTCGTATTGTCATGGCGTTTTAATTATTGTATCGAATCATACGATATCATATGCAAATTAATTGCCAGAATAATAAGCTCACTTGAATTTTCTCTTCCCGAACGAGTCATTGTATCTAGAAGCTTTTACATTTGCTACCGTGAACAAAATTAATTAACAGATAAGTTTTTTAGATGTGGCTAATACAATCTAATTCCTTCTGTTAATTATCGCGGGTAGATTTTAACAAAATAAAATTAATTATATACTAATAAAATTAATTATATATATATATATATATATATATATATATATATATATATATATATATATATATATATTAAAAAAGTGAAACTTTTCTACATTATTTTACATTATTCCTGTAAAAATTGCTCTTGTTAAACTCACTGCTATGGAACAGACAGTCATAATCATTATGAAGACGAACGTAACAAAAGTCACCGGTCCGTAATAAGCACTTAAGTTGAAGAAACGTCTAAGATTGTAATCGGCGATGAGAAATCGGTATATCTGAAACGAAGCGTGGTTCGTGAAAACTTGAAGTCCTTGAGGCAACTGAAGTAACCCAAATCGATCCGCATTTCTGACCAACGAATTCAAACCGTATCCGGACACACGATAGTACTTGTACAGCCTACTGTCATCCATGATGGGGAAGGCGATAACTACCGAATAATTTGTCGAGATCGCACGATATCACGCAGATGCTCGGGGATAATCGGGGGAATGATGGTCATTCAAATAAATATTTGACAGGAGACGTCGGCCTTCCATTGGTAAGCATTGCGATCGATCGATAAACAAATGACGGTAAATAGGCGAATTACTTTGACATTGGTCAAACATTCAGACAATCTTTTATAATAAGAATTATAACGATATCGAGCAATAATCACAATTCTCATTTAAATGCCATTATCGATTGTAGTCACGAATAGATAAAAATTTTAAGAAAATCGAAATTAATTTTTAAAAAATTCCTGTATAAATGTGATTTATCTCAGTGAAAAGGAGAAAAAAGGAACATTTCATAATTTATTTTACCTAAACTAAAATATTAACGAAGTCGAACTGAATTCAATTTTTAGTGCAAGACAACATTGCTTAGCGACAACTGTAATAAACAAGCAACTAATTTTAAATTTTAAATTTTAAAAATTAATTTTTAATACAGGCTAATATCATAATCCGTTTCTTATATTTAATTTATAATCCGTTTCTTATATTTAAGACCTTCTTGAATACAGATTTAAAACGTTATAAATTAATGATAGAACCAAAGATAGTATTAGCATCTTAAGATATTATTTAAGACGATCTTGAAATAACAATTGACTATGAACATCGGTCTAAGAAATTCTCACTTCATTATTAATTTAGATAATATTTTTTTTTTTTATGAAAAAGAAAACTGAAAAATTTTAGACTTCTATATTTTATGTAAATTATCATTTGTGGAATATACCAAGCATCAATCAAATTAATTTGACGCTCTTTAGTATAATTAATTTTCATACTCATTCATCCCTGGGTAATATCACTTTACTTTCTTGCATTTCTCCCTGTCTCTTCAGTATTTACACGAGAGCTACCCTTCGCATTTTTGAAGTTCGAGCATAGTTCGTGTCAGTCGCGTTCGTTACGTGTCATTAGGATCTTCGTGAAAGGTTTGTTTAGTTTTGCGTGCGCCACCAATATTCTTCCTGCGCCGAAGTTTCCTGACGTAATTTATAACCTGCGGCATTTGCCTATGTATACATAACATGGAATGCATTATTGAGTTGTAAAAGCGCGGTGTTAGATGAAGAAGTATTATTCATTCAACTTTCTATCGCTTTGATTATGTCAAAATTGAATTTATGCGAAACTATTTGAAACTATATAAAGTAGTAAGTAAATATATCATGTCCGTATAACTGATGAAAATTAATATTGTGAATACATATATAGAAGTTAAGATATAATTAAATTTGAGATTAAAGCAGAAAGGTAAATTTTGTCGCGATAACGTTCTTAATAAATATATTAAATGAATCAAAAGATGATACATTTTTGATCGTAATAAGATTCAAGATAAAAAGATCTCAATTGTATATAAAATTAATTGTATCTATAGCACAGATATAAATGCAGATGACAAAAATAATTCTAAATAGTATCCAAACTATTATAAGAATATATACTATAAATAATAAAACAATCATAGCAAATTTATAGAATTTATAACAAAATTAATGCGTTTTGATCGTTTCTCTACATAAATAATTTCTGCACATATATATTAATTATTGCTATTATATTTATCAAAAAATTATAATTTTATCGTAAATTTAAGTGAATTTTTATATGAAAAGATTCATATTTTTATATTCAAGATGTACAATATATTTAAGAAAATAAATGAATTGTAGAAATTGACATGAGTCTATTTTCCTGTATGTCGCTTAATCGCCATATTTTACTCAAGATAAATGAAAAGATGCAGATGTTTTTGCATGCATAAAGTACTGCCATTTTCAATCAAAATTTCGCATTCTCATCCTATAGAGTTCTCTTGACTGCTATGGATGTCAAAAGAAAGGGGAAAGAAGAGAATGGAAAATACGTGAAAAAATATATAATTAAAATCCAGCGTCGTGGATGAGATGCATTTCAAGTGAAAGTAGGGAAATCAGGGTGAGGAAACGAGAAAATTGTCCAAGGTAGACGATAGTAGATAGAATAGGACGGTTGAAGGATTAAAGAAAGACAAATACACGAAAAATAAAGAAAGATTATTGGAAAAAGAAAGAGAGTGCGAACGATGAGAGATTAAAAAAAATGTGTGGCAGGCGATCATGCGCTTGCCAAAAAACACAAACTATGTTAGAAGAAACAATAACAAACTAAAAGAGTTAAAAAACGCTTAACCATGAAACTCATGCAGACAAAAGGTAGATTAAAATAAAATATGTTCTCCAGTTTAATAATGCTATACGTGCTCGATATTAAATCATTACACGAAAGTTATTAAAAAAATTTTTCTAAAAAAAAATAATTTCTCTAAAAGAATTAAAATTTTAAAAAAATTAAAAACATTTTTAATTAAGTATTGCACATTTTTTTCATAAAATATAACAAGTTGTACGTGATACAAAGATTACTATGCACATTAAAGATATATATGCATCTTTATAAAGGTTACATTTTATAAATTGTATATAAAAGTATCGTTTTTTTAAAAACGAACAGACGATAAAACATGAAAACTTTATCGGAACGTGATAGTAGCTGACAAATAGTAATTCACATTTCATATCTTTATTAGAAATAAAGAAATTACATTTTTTTGCAATGTGCTAAAAACAATTATGAGATAATTCTTTGAAGTAAAGTGTTAGGAAGTATCATATTTTCATGAAATATCCTTTTTAAAAGTTTTCCAAAGTATGAATAAAATTTTTTTCAAATGAAAGTAATTTTTTAATAAAGAAATATTGAATAAGGATTCTATTCGACAAGCTAAAGACACAAATGACCACTCGGAGCTTAACCTTGATAGACGTAATTCGGTCTGGCTTGGTGAGTCTTGATTCTATCACGAGCCTGATCCCGAAGCCTACGATGTCTTCACCAGATTGTTCGATCCCATGATCGAGGAGTATCACACTGGTTTTAGGATCGACCAGGTTCATTCCGACCTAGATTGGAGCGAATCAGAAAAACCAGATAATCTTTATCCCAGAGGGAAAGCATGTAGTCTCGATGCGGATTCGTTGCGTAAGGTCGATCAAGAGTTATCCGTTCAATCCCTTGCCATGAGCGAGATTCAGTACGCGAATTAAAACGGAAAGCAAGTGGAAGACAGTGGTAGTATTTATGAGCACAGCTTTAAATAGATAGATCTTTGATTGTTTCTCAGTTACGTGAGTCTATAATGTATTTTTTTTTTTAAAGATTTGTAATTATTAAGAGAAAATATTTGATAGAAATTTCAAGTCTTTCCGTTCCATAAGAACTTGTAAGTAAAATTTCTGCTCTTGTCTGTTCTATCCATTAAACCGATACAAAACTGAACAAAGCAGTGGTCGTCGCACTTGGGGCTTTTGAAGCATTAAATCCGCCATTGGTGGAAAACGCGCACGATTTGTCCAAGAAAATGATTTCTGCAATTAGTTTTGTATCGCCTAGTGGCATGGCGAAAGAGAATTAAGGCTACTGTAAGAGTGAAGCTACAAGATCGCTTTTATAACACGATTATCCTGTACCTCTAGGTACAGGAGGAAGCTTTAACCTCGTTAAAGGACGAGTTCAAAGGGACCTATTACACGCTCGGAGCATTAGACAAACAGATCCGGCAACAATTACCGAATGAGCATTTCCCGTTCAACCAGGACGACAGGCTTCTAAAAGCAGCGGACGCAAAATTTTGGCCAATAAGTGGTAAGCTCGCCAAATGCAATAATGTACAATATGATATTAATAGCGTTATATTTTCTTCTTCGCTTACACTCGAAATTAGTTTCGACGTGGGCACGATTTAGCTCTAAATTAGATCGTATAAATAAACTAAAATTACCTAACGCTTTACATCTTATTTACAATCGGACGGTATTTCGAATGTATTCCATTTACCTTAACCGTATGCTAAGAGCCAACTTCGACGACCAACATTATACTTCGGGGTCAAACTTCGATCCGACCGTAGTTGCTTTCGTTAAAACATTCAATTACAATGTCTTAAGTTCCTTCAGCCTACTCGAAAACATTAATCCTCGGTAAGCCGTACACCCCAAATCGAGGATTTATGTTGAAACGAAGATTAAAGCAAAACTTTACCAAGATTAAAGCAAGTTCTATACAGGAATAAGCAAAACGATTACGCGTATACGCGCGCGCGTGTATCGGCAAACGTTCCCGACCTGCAAACCGCAGTATGCATTTTTAAACAGCTTCGTAATAAAGATTTTTATACCCCACGTCTTATTACTTGTTATACCTTACTTTAAATAATCATTTAAGTTATAAATCCTCCAAGAGGATCCATGTAAACAATGTGTTCTTTACAATATAATGTCTTCTATATACATTACATAATACGAGAGCAGCGAGTAGCTGATTAAATAAATTTGCATTAATGATTTTCGTCACGATGAGGTCTCGAATCCCTTCGCCCCTAGGATTAGGGAGTTAAAAGGGTTAGAGGGTATTACGGAGCTTAGCGTAACGCTTAGAAGGGTGTGGCGTGCAGTGCTTTGAGAGTTTTCGGAGAGAACCGAATGTTTCGTTCAATTCTTTTTACTTTCTTTTTTTTTTTCACGGACAATTCCAAATTACGCGCGTTTGCAAAATGCATACGATGTATCCTGAATTATTAATCCGTTATTGTGAAAAACGGGACGCACGAAAGAGTTTTTGGCTTTTTTCCAATCGGTTTCTTTTTTCTTTTTTTGTTGTCATCATTTGGCAAACGGATTTTTAAAATAAACGCAATGAAATAATTCAAGATACCTTTAAAAAGGTTTCAAATAGAAGATAAAACGGATTACCCCTCGCACGTCAATTAAAAAAAAACGTTTCGCTTTTTAACCTGCTAAACAAAGGGTCTCGGCGCGCCCTTTTCCCACGTTTATGCAGGGCGCATCTGCAGTTATGCTTAATTAACAGCATCACGACTCTGTTGGGCTTTCCCCTTTCCCCCCCTCTCATTCGACATTGTCACTAATATTAATTAAATGTGCGATGTATGGAAATATGATTCGCCATAGGACAAATTTAATTGCGTACTTTGTTTCGTTTAGCCATTGCATATCTCGTTGCGTTTCTTTTTCCATTTTTTTTTTTTTTCATGTTGCATGCACTCGACGGAGATTACCACGCTGCTTGCTTGTTACTCACGGATAATCAGAATCGTAGCCGGATCTATTTTTCCTTTTAATAAAGAGATTCGCTCGACCGGTCGAATCAATACCGGACTAGCCTTTGAATTGCACTAATAGATTAAAGTGCACCCCGTTTCTCGGCTTATGCTGATTCGAATATTAAACTTTTGTATCATGCTTTTTGTGAGTTAGTTTATCGGTAATTTAATTTAAAAAGTTATTCCGAATTGATTGTGGCCTTAAGCATCATTTAATTCCGTTACTAATCAACGTTTAATTGAATTTTCACGGTATTCGCAGTTTATTAATAGAACTACGAAATACAAATTTCGAGACTTAAGTGAGATCTCGAGTAAAATATAAGCAAGATGTAAGCGAGATTAAAGCAAGTTTATCCTTAAGAAACACACTCGCGCGATACTTCGAGATAAAGTTCATGCCACGTTTCGAGCACTTAACGTGATTATAAACGCATACGAAGAAATCATTTGAATTAAAATGTAAGCGAGCGAGAAAACTTTCTAACTTCCCGAACACGTGTCGCAACGTAATGTCTCTCGACCGAAAACACAACGGTTTCGCTTAAAGATTAAACGGAATTGCGACTTCCTCGCGACCTATTCGTTATTTCTTCCGTACTACAAAGAACTCGGTGCAATATTTATATAACGAGTTACATATATACACGTACAATAACAACGAAAATCGTCTACAACAACACTTAAGACAAGGCAGGATGTAATAGAAGACCTTTCGCGATTAAAGAGGAGAACGGCTTTCCGGTTGAAAGTTCAAGGTATATAAAACTACCGCACTTGTATAATGCTGTTCTTTCCTCCAGGTACGGAGATATTTTTTAACAAGGAGAAAACTTTTCTTGTCTGGCGCAACGAGCCGGATCACATGCGTCTGATATCGATGGAACGAGGCGGGAACCTCGCGGCGGTGTACGAGGAGGGCTCGTTAAAGCGGTCCAAGAAATCGAAAAGAAATTGGAATTCCTGCGGCACCGGAGACCCGGCTTCCTTCACATTCTGCCCTACGAATCTTGCTTGGCACGACCATCCGAGCCTCGGTGCACGTTCGCCTGCCGAAATTGAGCGCGGATTATCAACGGTTCGAAAAGATCGCGACCATGCACGGTCTTCAGGTAAGAATGTCTGATAGCCGATATTATATGGATGGGGTTTAATCAGTTGGTCAGACGAATGAATATTACAGTTATCCGGATATACAGAAGTATATATTGGGGTGCTACGTTTCACGAAACTTAATTTTTCCAAATATTACATTTTTTATTTTAAGTACGTATATATACGTTTGTATATTTATTTGTACGATCTTATTTATTGATACGCTTTCAATTTTTTTAAAATTTCCGATAAAATCATGATATTGTATCCCCATATTAATTAATAAAATCATTATTTATAATTAAAAAAACTAATGTTTGATTTTAATGAAATTAAATAAAAAATTACGTTTATTTATAAATTGTTAAATTATTAATCAGATTACGTGATTTCTATTTTACGGACCAAATGTTTAAAATGCTCGGTTACTTTGCTGACGTAGTGTTTTCATTTTCAATGAGATTTAATTATTTCAAATTTGCATATTATAAATTACATTTAACCATGCTTTAATACTCATGAAAATCTACTATCATCAGATTTTTCTTTATTGGACATGGAGGAATTTCATTAAACAGTATTACCTGGATTAAAAAACAATTTTTACAGAATAAAATGATATATAATAAGTAAAATTTAATGAATATGGACATAAAAGATAAATACATAAAAGATAAATTTTCGTATATAAATATGTAAAATATCAAACATATTAAAGTTGTAAAAATAAATAAAAATTTCATAAATATATATAAATATATATAAATATATATATATATATATGTGTAAACATTTTATAAATATTAAATATACTAGTACATATAATTCGAATATAATAATATAAAAAAAACATTAGCTTGAATAGAAGATATAAAATAATGAATTTTGCACGTGAATTGTATTTGCAAACTAAGAAAATTACTTAAAGATTATTTTGTAAAAATTAGTAAAACTTCACAACGCAAAATATCAAATAAGCTTAATATAAAATATAAAATAAGTTTAAAAGGATATTATCTTTATTTCTTTCATTCGAAATCAGTATGATTTATAAATTTAAATGAGAGATTATTATTATTTTTAAATGTTCAGGATATCAAAAATGTGTCTCATTTAATAAATTCAATAATTTTAAATATCAAATTAATTATGAAAAAAGATTGATTATGTAATTATACACAGCTAACTATTTCTTAAGCTTGCATTACATCTCAATGATTAAATTACTTTATTTCAAATCTAAATAAACAACATTAATTTTCAGGTAATAATATTTGATTACGTATGGGAAATCATGAAAATAATATGATATGAATTGCAACAAAATGCATAAAAATATAGTAAAAATAACACGTTGATGTAAAATTTATAATTAAAATTCAGTATTCATCGTTTCGCGAGATCCCTCGACGTCCATCGATGCATCTTTTGCTGCAATAGTAACTAAAAGTGATACAGATACTGTCCTGTGTCGTGCCCCTCGTTGATTGCACTTCACATAATTTACTCGCGATGCGAAATTGCAAATTTAGTTTTTTAATAATTAATAAATATTTATTATAGAACGAAATTTGCAAAGATAATTATTATAAAAAGTTTTATAAATACTCACTGTACTACTGTACTTTTTGCTTTACTTTTTGCATTATTTTATATACAATACACTTGCGATACAAAATCTAGAATTTATGAATTCATTCATTTTAAAAATTCATTCATTTTAAAAATATTATGATATATTTACAACATAGATTGTAAACAAAGTTCACAAACTTTTTTAATAATAACCTGTTGCAAAATATTTCTAAATTAAAGTTGAAGCATATAGAAATGGCAAATAATTTGTAAATAAAGTTATCGCGAAGTTTCTTACTCTCTACTAATATGAAAATCTTTTCGTAAATTTAATTCAATAAAGTTTCTTACTTTATAAATTCAATAAATTTAAATAAAATCAATTATGAACTATGCAATAATAGTAACATCTATTTATGCAAATATTAATAATCACAAAATAATAATCATAAAAAAATTATGAGATCTATTAAGGCATTCATAATAATCGTAATGGCTAATTCGTGAAATTATTGTGCAGTTTACAAAATTCAGACACCAATTTTGATATTAAAATCCATACTAAAAATTGAATCCGCTATTAAGAGCGGATAAGTGATATAAGTCAATGATAATAAAATATTTTAATAGAACTTTATTGAAAAATTTCATCAACCAAAACATTTTAGAAAAACATACATATACACACATATATATATATATATACATTGTATATTACAAAACTCATAAAAATTATCAAATTTTACTTAAAAATCATCACCTATAAAAATATGTAGAGAAAATTCAATAAAAAATATATTATTAAATTATTAAATTATACAATATACGTATCATGTTTATTTAAATTATTATAAAACATAGAAAGATATCTACATTATAATCAATACAAAATATAAAATATTAATGTTACAAGAATTATTCAATTTTACTTAGTAGAATGAAATATATGTAATATGTAGTAAATAAGTGACAAAGAAACTATTGTATTGTATCAAATTATTTATTAAAACATAATAATATATCATTAAGAATCAAATTAAGAGTAATATAATTGAAAATACTTTTAAGTAGTTCTATTTTAATTTTAAACATTTTTACTTTAGTAAATATTTGAGCTTTTACACTGACGAAAGAAATACTTATATTTCTTATATTTCTTTTCCGCTCGATGCTTCTTACGAAAAAATTTACACACATGCAAAAATCTAAACACAAAATATGAATCGTACTGATTTCAGAAATAGCAATTTCGACGGGAAAAAGACCTCACCTATATCTTAAATTCTACTCACCGACACTGTCGTTTCAGGACCCGTCACGTTTTACATCCCTCTAAAATCACTTCTGAAATAAAAATATAATATTTATTAATGATTAGAAATGAAGCAAAATACAGTTTTTTACAATAATCAAAATACAATTTTTATACATAAAAATATTTTATATATGAAATTATTGTTGTTAAATATTTTAATATAAGGATTCATATAAAATAGATGTAATGAATTATTTAAAACTTTTTATACATTTTTTTAAGATTAAATAACACATTTATGTTCGTTTAAATAATTTTAAAAAATATATTTCAAATTACAAGATTTCAAATATAAATATGAAATAAACATGAAACTATCTCTGAGCCGGCCTTGCTTGAATGAGATCCTTTAATACTGCAGCTAGTAAATCCGTAGAAAGTGCATCTGTTTGTGCACTGAAATTTTAAATAAACATATTGGTTAAAATTACTGATTTCGTAGAGAGCTCATAAAAATTAAGCATTAAAATGTAATTTATCAAATAACATTTTTATTATTTTATTTCTATATTATTAAAAAGTAATAATAATAAATCTTGTGAAAAATTTTATTTATTATCTGTTTTCATTTTCTAATATTTTTTTATCAGGTAGAGGATTTTTCTGTTCACTTTGACCCGCTCTAGCTGTATCACTTAGAATCAAACACCCTGTATATATAATTTTATCTTTTGATAATAATGAACTTAAAATTATTAAAACAATTCTTTTATTATGTTCATGTTTCTGTAAGATTCTTTAAAAAACACATCTAGATATAAATACAGCTCACTTTTTATTACTTCACCGGAAATATAACTGACTTGATTAAAAGATATTGATTAAAAAATATATTCCAAGGTATCAACATATATGTAAGATGTTGTGACAAGATGTATAGATATAAGATTAAAAGAATAATATTGCTATCTATTATAATTAAATCGTAATATCGTCTCTTAATATATAATGTGCAATGTCGCAGTAACGAGATACGATGAAGAGTTTTAGTTAGGGAATCGCGTTACGGTATTACAACAGCGCATTACATGTTATCGCGGTGCAAGTATTGTGCACGTATTGCTGTTATATTCGGTATGCTCGTTCACGGAAGCATCTAACATACGTTGCATTCGACCTCTGCGTAACTTCGACCGAAAGCGCTTACAACGCACCTTGGCGACGAAGCACATCTCATCCGCTCGCTGACTGACAATGAGTCGAAATGAATAGATGTTACAGCTAAACCTATCTTAGCATATATAACAACGCATATATCCCCACCTTTCTCCCATGCCACACAGTACACGAAAGATGCGACATACGTATTAACTAATTAATAATTACGTATTAACTAATTAATAATTAATTTATACATGTTGAATATATCGATTGATTGTACAAATATTGAATATAACCAAATGCAAATTAATGATGAAAATTATTTTAGATTTATTTTAATATATTTGTTAAATACGATTATTTTATTGCAGGGCCTTATCATTATGCGTAAGTAATATTAAATATAAATGTAATGTGATGAAAATATTTTAGATTTATTTTAGAAATGTTTGTTGAATGCTGTTACTTTATTTTAGGAATTTATTATTAAATAAATAATATAAAAGTTAAATGAACATATTTTATTACAATTATTTAATTTTGCAAAATGCAAAAAGAGAGAGAAATTTCTTATGTTATAAAATTTATTATAATTGTTATTTACACAGAAAATATGTGCAGAAAGATTGATAAAACGTATTATATTCAATTATATCTATTTATCTCATTTCATGCATATCATATGCTGGCATTAAGATTCTATTTAAAAAATTATAAATTAATTTATCAAATACCATTTGATTAAAAACAATATAAATTCTTTAATAACATTATTAAGTATTTTCATTTTATTTATTTTCATCGCATACAATTTGTGTGTCGTCCTATGAAATTACGGATTTAAAATTATATAATGTAATAATTAATTTGTTTGTAATATTATATTAATTTCGTTGTAATGTAGGAATTATTTGTAAAAAACATTCAAATAATATCTATAACTAGTATTACGATAAAGGTAAAAAAGTTACGTACAATTGAATGTTGAGCAAACGTTGAAATAACGTGTCAATAAAACTGTTTACACGATAAATGATCGTTTCGTAATGATGGGACGTCACCGAAAACGGCGATCGATCGATTCCTTTCTGCGTATTTGTCTTTCATAAAATATAATTACTTGAGATATACATTCCTTTATTTTCACATTACATTTTTTGATAACACGCTACTTTTTTCGCGATTTATTTTGTTGCACGTATTACCACTTGACATATTTATTTCAAAATTAAAATGTTTCCATGGTTGCTCATTTTCTTTTTTAAATGTCCATGTTTATACTTATGAGATATTCACGTTATTTATTACCTATGAATCTTTTTCATACTCACCCAAATCGAAAATCTCGCGATATCGTCCGCCGTTTCGCTGACATCGTATCCAATCACTCTTCTTGATGGACTTAGGATCCGAATATTTCAAAAAGCAAAGTTGGCACACTTCTCCCCTTACGTATTCCCTTCTTTTCTCTTCGCTTTCATCTTTTTTGCTCGTCTGCGTCACATTCACTTGTACTACTCCGATCATCGCTATCAGTAGTAATAATCTTCTTCCTTTCACTCTGGCTGACGTTGAAATTCCTTTCCGCTGTTCGAACTCCTTTATCTCTCGTTGCGCTGGCTCCTTGATATTTTTCCTCTTTACTCCGGCGGTATTTTCGGGAGAAATCAGGAGTAATGCTTCACGTTGTAGTCTGTTTTTGTCGGGCACCTTTTCCATCTTTGCGGGGACTCGAGGTAACTCGCAGAATGATGCGAGAGGCGTAGTCTCGGCTTCCGCGACGGTGGGAAGTCTCGGTAAAAATTCGTCAGCCCGAACAACGTTTGTGTCAAAGAGATAAATTCCACGAAACAGAAAAGCCACTCTCCTTCTCTTTCCCTCTTGACATTAATCAAAACGGCTGCTCTGTGGACGAAATAGTTTTGGATATCTCGCTGGAGAGCTAAATCTTATTTGTTCGCAAAGACGTAATAAGTTTACGAAAACACGACGAAAGAATCGTCGCAAGGATCGAGTCGGTTCGTAATGTGAAATGCGAATCGACATTTTGTTTCGCAATAAGTCTTTAGATTTCTATGCCTCTTATGATAATCGACTTGTGTCCGATTATCAACACGGTGTGGCAAATCATAACCTTTCGAATGATACATTTATCGAGTTTCATCGGAGATACAAGTTACCTCATCTGCCATCTCTTCTCGAATGGGGAGTATAAAATCCGAAAGTATGATTTATTTATAATACGTCGGATGTTTTCGTAACGGCGACTCGACTGCGCGACTTTGTTTACCACAGCGTCCTTCGTGTAGAGTCGCCACTTCTCGGCGAATAACGGCGCGTGTGGTTCCGGCCTGCTCGGCATTAACCTTCGAACTGCGATCGCGACACGTCTCAAGGTGTGACGTCGCGACACGTCTCTGCGAGTAATCTACATGATTTTGTCTTCGCCATTTGCTGCTTGCCTTGAGGTGACACGACGCTCGTTTCTGATCGAAGCATTGCAATTTAAATTCATTTGTTTAAAGGAGGAATAAAAAATTTTCTTTATATAATTATATATAGAATATGTCCATGATATAAGTGCATATAATTATATATAAATATGTATTAATATATTTATATGTAATTGCTATAATTGTGTATCATCACTTTATATATATTTTTATACATATATGGAAATATTTTATATATGACGCACCTTAAATATAATTATATGTAATTATATATAAAAAATTTTTTATCGGGTCTTTAAATGGGACTTGCAAATTGCCGTTTTTCTCTTCTCGCGATGGATAATTATTTCATTAACAAGCTTCCTGGAATTCGCATATATTCCCATGTTTTTCGTCGGCACGTATCCAAATAGATTTAACATTTGCTCTTCGAGTAATACGCGAGTCAGCCGACTGATTGTAATTCGAAGTAACATGGCATATCGATCGATTTATTCATAATAATTCGCTTCGGAGAGTTTATATGTTTATATGTTTTCGCAAGCTATCGCGCATGTATATATACATATACATATATGTATACATCAACTTATAAAATCAACTTAATATATTTCTCCGAACGATTTGTCGCTTAAGCTTCGATCACTAACTCGTGTCGTGTCTCGGTGAGTGAAGTTGTCGACTTTCGAATTTTTCCAAAATAATTTTTATTAACGAAGCGTTCGAATCGAGGTGAATTTATTTGTAAATGGAATCCAAATTGACTTTGTGCTTTGACTTTGTGCTTGTTGACCGCGTATTGAACGCGATTCGTCGATAAAAAACCATATCGCGATGCGATCTTTGTACATACAACAGAACTTTGTTCGCGATTCATAGCGCGAACGGCCGGCAAAACGACGATCGTATTCGCAAACGTGGCGTCCCGCGGGTATTTATCTCCGATTTCGACTCGCGCTTTCGTTTCGCCCGTGTTGTGACACGAAGAGAGAAAGGGAGAGGCAGCAGTCGTTTTGAAACGCGAGCGATCTGTTTCTTATTCAAAGAGCGGAAAACGCACGAACATGCAGCCGGGAGCAACAAGTGCAGCATCGCCGCAACCGCCACGGTGACTATGCGACGCGTGAAGTTGGTCACGATACTTTTGAACTCCCTTCGCCGCTCAGATTGATTCTCTGTTCCAATCCGCAGGACATTTCGAACGCCAATGAATCATAGCTCCGTGACGTTTTTTTTTGTTTTCTCGCTTCGTGCTGTGAACGCAATGGACACTAGGAATGTACTGGGTGAAGTAAGCTCGATAAAAAATTTGTTCTACAAGAACATATATAAATATATATAAACCTACGTAAATATATATAAATATATAATTATATATATTTATATACTTTTACATATATTTATGTATATTCTTATATGAAAAATTTTTACCGGGAGATGCTCTGCGCACGATAAAAATATCAGGAACAGGATTAAATATTAAATTTTAGAAATGAAAATTCGGCATAAAGATTAAATGTAACGCACCATGAAATAGTAAATATAATATATGACCATATCTTATACTTACTCGTGTCGATTGTGCGTTACGTTCAATCTTTATTTCGAATTTTCATTTCCAAAATTTAATATGTGTTTCTATTTTTAATACTTTCTTCATTGTGCGCAGAGCCTAATATATTGACGTTAGTGCGCGCGTTCACAGTTAAACTAACCTATTTTCGCGAGTGAGTTCTGTGAGTGAAGACATCGCGATGACAACGATGAGAGGAGATGGAGGTCCAGGAAGGCAACGGACGACGGCGGAACAATCTTGGGTGAGTTTTCTATTCGATGTTCATTTATTATTTACCTGTTGAATTTATTGTTTATCTTCGCACATCTCTGTCGCATGTTGCATTCACGGTCGTCAGATTGCCAGTGTTCTGCCGTGAAGATCAGTTTTATAAAAAAAAAAGTGGAAATTTTAGCTTATAATTCGCTTTATTCATCGATATATCTCTCTAAAATAAAATCTGTTTCTGAAAATTGTTATCTATTATTTACTTCTAAAAAGAATTAAAATTTGAAATGGTTAGCTGGAGATTCTGAAAAACTGAAGTTTCTGATCGAAAGCCGGAGAGATAGCAACCGTGCATTCCTTGTATCATTGAAAACCATGTATGTAACGTAAAGTGTGCATGAAATATTTTTGATTGTTTTTTATAGAAAATAGTTGATTACTATATATATTAGAAATATTATATATATATATATATATATATATATATATATATATATAATTATTATTGTTTATATATATATAATAATATATATATATATATATATATAATAATAATATATATATATATATATATATATATATATATATATATATATATATATATATATATATATAATATTTCTGTCTGATTTAAATTTAATTGATATAAAAATTAGATATTATATTTACAAAAATTTTATTTTCAACACTTAAAAGAAAAAAATTTCTTCTACTTTATTAAATAATGGAATTTACTTTATTAAATAATTATTGCAATTTATTAAATATTTTGCAAAACAAAATTCACTCCATGTAATAATTAGTTTTTACGAATATTTATTATTTTTTACGAAGATTTATTCTTTTGCTGTTATATTGTAGATTATATTAATTTTTGTAGGTTAATTTTTACACGATCCGATACTGTGCATCGTGAATTAATGAATCAAATTATTTTTTATTTTATTTGAGATGATATATGAAAAATATATACATAAATGTTGCGTGTTTTGTTGTGTAGTAAGATAGATGTGTAAATAATTTAAAAAAATATTGGAATAATTGATTGAATAATATAAATTTAAAAAGAAGTGTGAAATATAAAAAGAAGTTTGAAACATTAATTGAATTTTTTATTTTAAATGGATTTCGTAGATTTATTACTTTAAACAAAATCTGGGCAGATGTATAATTTTAATAAACTAAAACTCTTGTTTTAAGAAACGAAAATTGTCGCAAAAACTAGAGATTTAATCCCATTTTTTTCGGTTTATTAAAATATCGCTTTTAGAATAAAAATTTGGAGCGCAAACGATTAATAATGGTAAATCGGTTTTCATCTTTTGATGAAAATGAAAATACATTTAAAGTTAATTAGCAAACGTTAAATTTATATTTAATTCGCGATATTTTCGATAAAATCTCTGTAGTCAATTCTGTAATACGATATATTTCCACATGTTTATCACATTTCCATAATTTATAAACTGATAATTGTTAAATCATCGGTTACTGACAATTTTAACAATTTACTCGCCATCGTAATAGCGCAATACTATATTTACTCGGATTACAATGACATTATTGCGTATTCGAACACACAGTTTGCATTATAATTTAGATATATCTGACATTGGATATCATTATGTAATTCGTAGACGCGCGTTAACTCAATATTTCGGATTATCTTAGAACAATGCTTAGTAGATTAATTATGATATAGTTATCACGTCGCTTAGTATAGCGAATAATAATAGTTGACTAAGAGAAACGGCACGAACTGTAGGAAATGTACGATTGCTTATCTTGTTCACTTGCGATCTGCGACCTGATTTTCTCAGAACTAGTGAATCTTGAATTGTTCCTAAATAAAACGCACAGATAGAATTTCGGAATTAATGCAAAATAACATTCCATTTATATATCTAATTTTTTATTCATTTATTAAATAATAAAACTTTAATCAGTCTAATAACAACTAAAAATGACAAACTAAAAATGAAAGAAAGAGAGACAGAGAGATGTTTCTATATGAAAATAATTCTCTTTAACCTGGTTTCCATTATACTTCTTTTTTCAAAAAATTTCTAAATTTTCCAAGATATAAATTTATTTACGGGATCATTTTTTGGAAATATCCTACGTGGGAAGAATATCTAAATTATTATCGGGGAACGACCGATATGTCTTTTTCGGCAATATTAGTCCATCCATCATTCTTATGTCACGCTCTTGGTGTTCACAAAAGGATGAATAATCGCTATACATCGTATGACAAGAGCAATGCTGATCGTTCAAAAAAGTAGCTATCATTCTTTTTACGTTTTAATAAAGCAAAATTATTCAGCATTAATTGCACTTCCGTCATTCTGATCTCGTCAGCCGAGAATGAGCACGAAAACGTTGATCCACATTGACGGATCTTAACCCTGTTTCGTCTGGTTGACTAATGTGATCAACGCGGGATATGATAATGAAAGATAACACAACTTTGTTCTCTCTTCATCTTAATCGCGTAAATTGCACTGCGAACATCTTTATATATTATTATTACTAAAATTTAAAATATTCGTTTTAATTAATACAAAAAGTATCACAAGATATAAAATATTTTTTGTACGAAAAATATCACAAAAACATTTTTTTGCTTTAATAGGATATATTTATTAAATGTTACTTTCATCTCCTTTTGTAAATTCTTTTTTCGAAATATTATAGAGTCTGTTCCATACATAAAAGAATACGTATTTTTTATCCACTTCTTATATACGCATATAAACAAATTTCTGAATGATTAGAAAATTACGTAACAAAAGACGGGTCAAGCGTTAACGGCGAGAGAAAGATTTTCTACTTTTGCCGACAAAAGTAATCTTCTTATACAAAAGTGCCCCTGGCATCCGAGAAACACCGATAAAGATAAACGACCTTTCGTGCTTAAGGATTAACCGAGTGGTCGGTCGCGTGTCTCGTAACGGTCGATGAAGCGGCGAATCGGCGGACAGCCGGCTCGTTTAAGTGTCCAATCGCTAAATAAGTAGTAACGAATGTGCATGGGCGGACAACGCGACGACAGTGGCGTTAATCCTCGCGCCATTATTCGAGATTTACTGGAAACAGCTGCTTGTTCACACGGTATCGGATTATTAGGCTTTAATATTAAATCTGACAAGATAACTGATACCTTACTAATAATACATTTGAATTTGCGATATCTTAATATCGGTAAGAAGCACTCGCTGCATCTCTCTCTCATGTCCTATTGTTATTTGACTCGAACTAACTAAACAACTCGTCAAATAATTTAAAGAATTCGTAAATGACGATACATATTTCTCGTCGTAAATTTGAAAGTTGTTTAGTCGAACGTTAATTTTTACATTATTTTTGCTGAAATGTTGTTGTTCGGTCATCTTTGACTGAAAGACGCAGTTAAGCTCCAAGTTTAAGATTAGGGTTTACACTTACTGCAGAGAGATTGGTAACGGTCGCTGGGGAGGGTTCCGAGCGGGCACAGGCCCGGTCGGCCAAGCTTGTAAAGCTGCTGGGGTGCAGTGCGATCGACGGGTCCGTAATTACACACGAGTACCTCGACCCGATCCCCGCCAGGCGTCGTCGTGGTCTTGATCAAGTTGAGCGTGTAAATCGCACGGCCGCAACCAACGTAAATGAACGTCGCCGATGCGAGGGGAATGTAAGAGGAGAGTGCCGCGTTAGAATAGTTCACCAGTCTGAAAGGTATGATTATCTGGACTAAATGAAGGTGGACGGCCCGGCAGACAGCCTCGGGCCTCGAGCTCTCTTCATTGACGCGCAATTCAAATTAGAACGAGCTCTTCATAATTTAAGACGCTCTCGTAAGACTCGAGAGATTAATGTGTATCTTACAGATCTACTTTGAAAGTCGCGAATGAAAATTATTAATTAATTTTTAAAAGAACGTAGAGATTAAGATCACAATGAAGATCGATATACATGTGAAACATGCTGAAATATGCTAATTTTGCTAATTTAAAAAATGGACACGTATCGTCTAAAGGAGAATGCTAAATTATAGTTTAAATTATAGTCTACTCTCTCTCTCTCTCTCTCTCTCTCTCTCTCTCTCTCTCTCTCTCTCTGTTCTTAATATTTTGGGACAATCAACATTTTTATATCTACCCGTATTTCTATTAATTAATTATTAATTCATTTGGCAAATATATTCCGATAAAATTTGATATAAAGAAGCCGCAGGTATAAAACAAGATAGGAGTAATACGTTTTTGTACATCTCTCTCTTTTGAATATACTTTACAAGGTTAAAGTTTGAAGTCTGATTGTATCACATTTTCATGTATTCTGTAGGAAATTGAAACTTTTTTCTATCAGACCGAAATAAAAAAAAAATGATAGAGGCATAGCTGCTGGGGGATCCGGACCATCGAGTAATTTGGACCGATACAATAGCACTCTCGATTTCCAATTTACCGAGAGAATACGCGATTTTGATTGTTCCCGGCGACAGAAGAAGAACACCATCCGCTATTCCTCTATTTTCACCCTCTGTTCCATACAATCGGTCTTCGGTCATTTTCTCTGACGGTCAAGTCGTCGCTTCATCCCTCTCTGCCTCTTCCTCCAATGTCTGCAAACCCCTCTCGCAATACCGGCTTTAAAAAGATTGAAACGAGCTGTTGCTCAGTGCGCCAAGAAAAGCAGGCATCGCAAGAACGTGTCAGCATTTGACTAATTTAAATATCTTTAAAGAAAACTATCTACCTTCCAAACTTGTTAACTAAATTACAGTTTAATTTACTATTTTTGTCTAATAAAGAAAAATAGAAAATGCTCTTAACATTAACTTAAGTAGACTGCTTCCAGAATTAAATATCTATTATACTTGTATATTATGAATTTTATATCTATTTTATTATTAAAAAATATTAAATAATAAAAATATTAAACACTTTATAAATTCTGTTATATATTCAAGATTTTTATGCTAAAAGAAAATAAAAATTATAGGTACACGTTTGACATTTTGAGTTTTTATATCGCTTATTTTCTGAATTTCATTTAATTCACAGAGAGAGAATTCCCTTTTGGTAAAAAAGAGTGCATGAAAAAGTCTCGTTTGGGGTACCGAGATTTCTAAAACCAGCACTGTCTCCCACGAGGGTACCGTGATCGCGAGCAGAGACGAGGGGATAGATATGTAGGATGAAATGGAGGATCAGGAAAGGCCAAGAGACGAAGAGAGAGAGAGACGAAGGGAAGTGAAGAACAGAGCGGTAGCCGCAAATCTTCCCCCAAAATTCGGGAGACTGAGTTAGCTGTGTCTACATGCCGGGTCGAACATCGGCCATTCACAAAGGGGTGGTAGAGTCTCTCGACACAAAGGAGTCGTTCCGATCAACTCAGCTCGAGCTATTGTACCTTCCTCTCGACAGCATCGCGATTCGGGCACGCGTTACTATCGACCTACATACACATGAAACGTGCGTGTGTTCACGACGATTTCTTGATGCGCGATTTACATACAGTATGCCCCATAAGTAGCCAGATATCTTTGCTTCACATGGATGAATCATTGATTCACGTAGAATCAATTTTTCTTGACAATAAAGTCCCAAAATAATTGATCTTTAAATTACAAACGATTGAAAATGGAAACTTTTTTCAAAAGTTTTACGCTTTAAAAATCCGAACCGATAATGGAAATGTTTATCTTTAATCATTTTGATTTTATAAATAAATTTTACTTTTATAGAATTTTAATTTAAAAATTGTCAGAAGTCGATAAATGAAAAAGATATTTATTATTGAAAATTGAGAATTTACGACAAATAATAAACGATCTTCCGTCAACGTTCGCCAAAGAGAAATTTGTTAAACCATCCAGAAATAAAAAGTCTCGCCAGATATGGAACATCCTGTACATTCTATATTTACACTGTGCGCACTTTTGAGTTTTACCCGACTTCCGCGTTGTCGAAGTCTTCTACCTCGTCGTACCATGATGTAATATGAAAGTGAATTCTTTCCTTACTACTCGTGCCATTTTTCACGCTGTCCATGTCGAGCACATTTACATTCTGCCACACTCCAAATCGTTCTGCAACAAACGACTCGTTTCAATGAGGTGTCCGTATGTGCTTCGATCTCATACAACGTTTACCTTGGGAACAATGATTATTAAAACAAAATCGTTCACAGTTCTGTTTTATTAAAAACAAATCTTTGTTCTCAGTCTTTTTTATTTCGAAGAATTAATCATATTTGAAACGGTAACATTATTGCCACCTATGGCCACGTTTCCATTCTTATGAATAGAGAGACGATTTTCACGTATTCTTATCACCGAAATCCGCAAGTTCCGAACTTTAAAACGAAATCTGATAACGCTCGATAGGGGAAAATTAACGAATCGAGAACTCCGACCTTATATATACACGCTCATGTTTCGGCTGCCGTATCGGTAGAACAATTTCGCGTCTGCACGGGTTATTGGATATTGAAAAATAACGGCGCAGCGAGAGAGGGAAGGATGAAAAATGAGATATATCCGTCGGAGTTACTTGCCAACGTCTCGGCACTGATCCTTCTCGAAGAGCTTGCACTGCAACGCCCATCGACGCGCTATAACGGCGAGTTCGTCGTCCCAGATCTGTCGAAACAAATGATGCTTCAGACGCCGTCCAGCATCCCCGGGATAGATGATTAAATATCGCGCGCGCGTCGCGCGTGTTCCGTCGATTTTTCTACCAATTCCATCATGGTCCTTGCGGCGGGTTGCGGCCCGGGATTTCCACGGCTCTCCTTGCCGTTCGCAACGACGGCGCGATAAAAATTATGACTGTCGAGGACTGTCTTAATATCCTCCCCGTCGAGATCGCTGTACTCTATGTCGATGCAATCCGCGTTTTTGCAATCGGACTGTAGAGAGGATTAGCGGATCGATGATGCATTTTTTTTTTTTTTTTTTTTTTTTTTTGTTAAAAAGGACAAACGGCATTCACCTTCGTAATTATACATGAGTTGTGTAATTATATATGAGTTGTGTAATTATATATGAGGAGTACGCTATCAGCACTGTCGCGTCATTCTATTCTTGATTTAAGCGATATTCTATCCTTACTTTATTTAACAAACAATAAAGACAGAATGATGCAAGTTAGTTCTCCGAATGCAGCCAAAGTAACGAATGTCTCGTGTGACAAAAATTAGATTAAACATATTGGTTAGATTGGATTTTAAAAATCTGTGTTATGTGCCAGTGTATTTTAACATGATTGGACATGATTGGACTGATGAAGTAATTATTCTGTATAATAAATAAAATATACGATATGCGAGTAATTTAATTAAATATTTACAGGAAATAAGCACATGGTGTGATCTTGACAAATGCGACAATATCGATTTTTATCTTCACGCTTACTCAATGATATCCTTTTTCTCGCTTCGCCGTCGCTATAATGCGCGAAAAAAGATAACAGATAAAAGATACGAACTGTCATCCGGTTAAACCGCATCGTCGTTAACCTATTCGCGAGATTAGTTGCACGCGTCAGCTGCAATTGCGTGCTTCAGCTGCTATCCGCCCTTAATCGTGACGTGCAAGATCTCCCTTCTTTTTTCCCCCCCACGAGCTGTCCAACTTCAGATCGCGTGAATCAATTTAGCGACTTCGACAGTTCCGAGACGCCGGATTGGTAAGAAAATTTATTGCGCGGCGCGGAACGGAAATTCATATCGCCGCTATGCGAATCGAGTCGTCGGTCGGCCTTGCGCTTGATCGATGTGCGAATGGGAAACGAGAGACGTCTGTATCTAAATAACGCACCGCCTAAAGTATTTCAATTCCGCATTTATTACGGCCGCAAATTCGCCGCTGTATGTAAAGAAAATGAAATCGCTGCTAGAGCGAGCTACTGATAAATCGTCCGGTGGGCGGAAATGCCCGGCACTCGGCAGACCAATATTTTTATTTGCCCTCTCGCATGGCACATGGCTTTATATCTAAATTTATTTCCAAATTTATATATTCTCTTCCTCTTCTTTTCGCTGCTGCGGAATACCGCGAAGGTCTATATTTCATTTTGTTTAATTTGGGCGGGTCTGACCGATGCACACGCTCGCGTGGCACGTTTACCTTATTAATAATATAATAAATAACCATATGTTATAAAATAATGTCTACAAAATATACAACAAACTTAATATACTTAATATTTTTATGTAACATCTAACGTAACATTATACCAGAAAAATTTGGTATGGTGACCGATATTAAATCGCTATTAATTTATACGAAGTCGAACGTTTGTCAAAGCGAAAGCGAGCGTAAAGGTAAAAGCGATACGAAACGATACATAAACGATTCTCTCGCCCGTTTGTAAGATATTGTTTGCAGAACAACTTCGCAACGCAATATTTCCCCTTAAGTGCGATTTATAAAGCTCTCGATAGTAATATCACGATGAAATTCTGGTGTAGCGGCGTATTCGAAATTTGTTTATTCGATCGTTCTCCCGCGAGAGATGTTATAGCGTGTAAACGTGCCTGTTCGGCAAGTTCGTTCCTTCTTCCGTGCTGTACGGCACGTGTTTTCATTTCGGTATCGTAGCTAAGGCTGCCTCTCATATCATTATTGTTTCAATACGCGCGGGAGGTAAGAACTTCTCAAGTTCCGTTGCGTTCCCAAGACTGCCGAACATCTCTCCAGCTGCTTTCGCCGCAACAATAGCGATTGTAGACGAGACTGGTATATCGTAGACGTAGCGAATTACACTTGCGAGAGGCTGAAATTTTCAAATATCGATGCTCATCATTCGACTCACATATATTTCTGCGCGATACGTTTTATTTTACTTACTTAACCGGACATAAAACATCCATTATTTCTCAGAGTAATAGAAAGAAAATAAACATAATAAATGCAACATTCTCGCATATTTTAACAAAAAAATGCAAATTTTGCGACTGCGGCATTTTGTGACATGTTTAACGATATAGTAAATTTGCTTAACGTTTTAACGTAAAACGGTATGCATATACGACAATTCAATTTTGAAAAGGTTGATTGTTTTGTCAGTAACGCAATTTACATTTCCGAGTAATGGCCTGTCAAACTGTTTTGATTGAAAACTGAAAGTGGCATATAATAAAATACAGAAGAAAATAAAATTTATTAAAGAATAATTTAAGAGAGTAATAATGTATCGACTTAAAAATACTTTATTTCACGCATTTTATATATAAATAGCATCTGCGCATATAGATATTTGTACAGAAATTCGGACAAGTGTTTGAAGATATTTCCATTTCTCCCAACACGAAACATGTAACATAATTTTTTTAATATTAGTCTAATCTTTGACATGACTAAATTACAAGATGAGATGAAAAGAAGAAATCGGTTAATATTGCCAACGGAAAAGTAATTATTCTCACACGATATCGCAGCTTGCTAAGCTGCTAAACTTGCTGAATGTTTTAATTGCGTAACTGGCAAATCTTATATAAGAGTAAAAATCCAGGAATCTCCCTCAAAGTTGAAGAGAAATATCTTGTAAAGCACGAAGGTATGTTACCTACGCTACGTAACGGTTCTGTATCTCTCTAAGAAATACCTCAGTGGCTTATTTTAATAGACATGTACATGTATGTATATTACGAAAATTTCTCATCATGCAACCCCTCTGAAAATTACGTAACGGTGAGTTAACATCATTTGGTCCCCGACATGTGTGTTTACTTTAGTAATTATCATACGGAAGCCTGTTACTTGGCGGCACGTTTTCCATAATAAGATACGCGCGGCGCGAGTAAGATTGAGTAATAAACTATATTAACAATACTTATACACACAATACCGTTATATATGTAAATCGGTTTGAATCGATCATCTTATCTTTACAAAATTGTTTAGCTCGGGCTTACATAGTCTTCACGAAGACCCAAGTTCTTTTTTTACTTTTTTAAACGGTATCATCAAAGGCTAATTTAAGCAACGCTAATCTGTGTTTCAAAATTTACTTTAGAAAAAAAAAGATAACAAGCCAATTATTTAAAAAGGTGATTAATTTTATCCGTCAATTATTGCGCTCTTATAATTATTTATAACGGCCGTACATTCCGATTATTTTTAAAATCATAGACATTTAGCGATTTTAGACACGTTTAAAAGACCATTCCAAGTGTCGTAAAGTTAAACGGGATTCGTGCAAAATTTGCCGTACGTCTCGAATGAGAATTTTTGAAACTTGACTTACGCGGTATTCAAAATAAACGGCTTTATTCGAGCGTGAGATCTCTTTATACGCGATCATCCACGTGCGCGACCCCATGGCGCTGACATCGACGTCGTCGGCGCCAATGTCGTGATCGATGCAGCGCGAAATGTCATAAAGTCATATTAAGGACTGTCCAGTGCGTTCTCTCGCCAGGCCAATATCGTGTTCATGTCGGTAATGCCACGCGTGCTCCATGGCTCGAGCGGATCCGAGGATGACGTTGGCGGTGACGAGGCTGTCTTATTCCGCTCAATCGATTCTCTTCTCCTCGTCGGCTCCTCAACTTCCTTAGGCGATACTCTGCGCATACATCGTAAAAAACATCGTCTCATTAGGAAAGTAGTCATTCGATTAATAATCCTATACGGATATTACGGGATCTTCTTGAAGCTGTACATTCTTTAATTTAGAAGAATTCTTCTAAAGACAAGATTCCTTCTTAGCGAAAATATCAAAGATTTCATTGTCATTTATTTACAATTTTTAACATGTGCTCATATCTGCGGCTAAATTTTAAATTAAAAGTCAATTTTGAAGCGAATCCACTTTGACAATGATTTTTGTCGTAATTTTTTTGCTGACGTTATAAATACAACAATGATATCTTTGTTAAGGAAAAATCGATCGGCAAAAAATCTATAGTATAAACGGTGTGGAACATTGCGTAACTAACGATGTGGGATAATTGTTAGATGAAATTTAATTAATGTGTCATTTAAGTCGTATCAATTAACGCATCATGCTGTCTGTTCATCATGCACTTGGAAACTTCAGATTTTACTGTCTGCTGTCACAGTTAGTTATCCATACAGTTCAATAAATATCCATTTCCTGGTTACACCAGATCTATCTATTGGATTGGAAATTGCGCACTGCTCAGCGAATTTATGTCTTTTTTCGGAAAACGAAAATTAAATGGAATTATTTAAATTCAGAGATTCGTATTATTTAAGCTCATTTTTGCAATATATTTAAGCTCATTTCTATGCAATTATTTATGTTTTTTAAAAAAGCGAATCTTTTAATTTACATTTAAAGAACTATAAGATAAAATATAAAAATATCTTTCGTCTTGCAAATATATGGAAATATTTAGCTTCATTGTTTCCGAATAATGTAATTTATCGCGCAATTATCAACAAAATATTGCAATTTATTTTTTCGCATGCGTCAGATTTTGTTACCTGTTCTTGGCCGTTTTCGGCCGACGTTTTTGAAGTTTATCGGATGGCTTGGTGGGAACACCGTTCTGCTTGATGTTTGGTTTAATTGTTTCGGCGGTTATGCCTTGTCCTTCAGTCTCGATATGATTCGTCAGTTTCTCTTCCGGATTATTTAGTAACGGTCGATATCGCTGACTTTGCTCGACAGACGTAGTAGACGAGGAACTATCGTCGTCATCATCACGGCGTGACCGTCTCGATGTCGTAATGAATCTATTATTTGCAGATTTTATTCTTCGAAGACGAGCCTCAGTACCGAGCAAATTGCTGCCTATTAACGATTAACATAAATTCTTCAATTTATAATGAACGAGATTTAATCGAGCCTTTAAATTTCCATATCTTTTTATTTACCACCGAGGTCATTATCGCTGGATTCCATGAAGTATTGTTTCTTAACGGTAGATTTCTCAGTGGTTGGCGGGGCGACCATGGCGAAGTGTGCTAGAATTTGCGGGTCGATCGCGGTTTTCATCGAAGCTTCGCTTGTGGCTAGAGCGGACTTCGCCATTTGCAGTAGAGTTTTGTAATCTGTTGTAGTCTCGGAAGCGATAGCGAGTTCCAGAAATGGATCTTCGACAGATTCTTCGAGCGCTTTCGTATCTATATTTAATGTTTATTTAATCACTTCGTTGCACGAAATATTTTAAATATTTTACATAAATATTAATCGGGACATACTTATTACTTATTAGCTTGTTCTCGGTATAAGAAGAAATACATCAAAGTCAAACAGTTTAAAATATTGTTTATAAAAACAAATCAATTATCAAGAATTTGGATACTTTATACTTACAATTTGCATTTTTTAAATTCATTGCCTCCACGTTCTCGTCCTTCACGGGATCAATAGACTTGTCGATTAAATCCGTGAGACCTGATAATTTCGCTGGCTCCCCAATGGGTTGTTTATGCGGTTGCACACTTGCAACCACTTCCGGATTATTTTGGGTCGTCTTCGTCTGCTGCTCGTTGAGAGCGACTTTCGACTGCACCGTCGTTTTCATCTGCTTCGCATCGATATTGGTAGGTATACCCTCCGTCGCGGTGGATAAGTCAAAGTCATGTGCAAAGGCCATTACGTCCAAAGCTGCGGTTAGCGCATCACCAAAACCTGCAGTAACTGCCGACACTTGCGGTTGGCCGGCATTGGGACTGTAATGCACGTGAAATTAACGCGTGCCCACAATGTTCCACGGACAGATTGATGCATCATATAAAATGTCACATTTAGACGACACATTATCATGATAATCAAATAATAATGTTTATTTTCTCACTTAAAGCAAATAATTAATGAACAGCCAATTAAAGTCAAGTGGATTGCATTGTAATATTAAAATTATACGTGGACTTTTAAAATATATCACTTAGTGCTGAAACATACGTAATAATAATTAATAATTTAAATTAATAAATTGATAAATTAATAAAAAAATATAATTAAATCGTACTTGAACGTGTCAACGATTTTATGATAAAATGCGTCTGCGTAGTAACTGATTCTTTGTGTTGGATGTACGACCTGTTCGTCTTACATCCTGCTACATAGGTATTACGTAACGCATCGCGTCGAGCCTCATAAATATTTAATAGACTCGAGATACGGTCACGTTCGCGCCGCTGTTACGCGTTCGTTACGTAGAGGCATAGCCAATCTGTGAAGGACTCCGATGTTTCTAGACGTTAGCTATGTCCGGATTGCAGGTGGCAGGCTCGATGGAATTACGAGGTGATAAAAAGTATCGTCCGGGTACCGTCTCTCTGACAGTGAGTCACTCCCGGCAAGGGCAATTGTAAATCTATGCGCTGCAAGTTGCAAACAGTGTGGAACGGTCTAGACGCAATGTCAGTGAGTAATTG